AAATATTTGCTCTGTTTTGCTCTGTTTTGAGGATGTTACATTTCGACTCTGTTTTTCTTATAAAATTTGATATTTTTTTGTGTGATTCAAAGTTTGAATCTAATTATGATAAGTGTTTGGTGTTGAAATGTGAAATTCTTTTAGGTTTTGTCTGTGACGAAAGCATTGTCGATTCAAGCGCATCCAAACAAGGCCTTAGCAGAGAAACTGCATAGAGAAGATCCTGTTCTGTACAGAGATGCTAATCATAAGCCTGAGATTGCTCTCGCAATTACTCCTTTTCAAGCACTTTGTGGTTTCGTAACTCTTAAGGTACACATTTCAGATTCTTCTTCTTCTCTCTCATTCTTTCTGATTACCTCTAAATGTGTCGGTTTTCGGTTTAGATCAATTCGGTTAAATTATTCCCTAAACCAACCGTAAGTTTTTTTCCTAGATCCGGTTTTGATTGTTTGATTGTTTTGCATAGTACATGTGGCACATCGGTTATAAAAGATTGTTGAATCCGGAACCAAAATAACTGATCCAAAATCAAACCAAATATTAATGTAGTTAAATTAGTTTACCTTTTCAGTTTTTCTACATCTAAATATATTTGAAACTTTTAACTTCTTGGAGAAACTAATGATATTCAATCCTACAAAACCTATAGTCACAATCAAAACCAATTAACCCACAAGTTTGTTTTTTTAAAACCATAAATTCCCGGTTTGATTTGGTTGGTTATTATTTGGTTGCTTTACGCAGTTAAACCGAATTGATTTGATTTTGGTTTAGTTCGGTTACTTTGCCTATTACATAATGCTAGTATGCTACAACCAAAATTGACATTGTATTAAATCAGGAGCTGAAGGAGGTAATCGCCAATGTACCAGAGATCACAGAGCTTGTAGGAAGCAAAGCTGCAGATCAAATCTTCAACGTAGACGAACACGAGGACACTGTTAAATCCGTTGTCCGATTGATCTTCACGCAGCTGATGTCTGCAAGTATCAACGAGACAAAACAAGTCATATCTCAGATGAAGATTCGTCTGATATCAGAGAAACAACACCGTGAACTATCGGAGAAGGAGAAGTTGGTTTTGGAACTAGAGAAACAGTATCCAGGTGACGTAGGCGTGATCTCAGCTTTCTTCTTGAACTACATCAAGCTTAATCCAGGAGAGGCTTTGTATTTGGATGCAAACGAGCCACACGCTTATATCTCCGGCGACTGTGTGGAATGTATGGCGGCTTCAGACAACGTCGTTAGAGCTGGTCTCACTCCGAAACACCGCGATGTTCAAACCCTCTGCTCTATGCTTACCTACAAATTGGTAACTTTCTTTCTTTACACGTTAATGAAAACATTGTTCATAGTATATTTAAACCGATTGCTTCTTTTAACTTTTGTCTGGTTATTGATTAACCGTACCGGATTTTTTCAGGGTTATCCGGAGATTTTGAAAGGATTTCCTTTGACACCATACATTACGAGATATCTTCCTCCATTTGATGAGTTTGAAGTGGACCATTGTGATCTTCCTAAAGGAAAATACACGGTTTTTCCAGCAATCCCGGGGCCTTCGGTTTATATGGTTATCGAAGGAAAAGGGAAATTGGAAACCGGTTCATCTCAATTGTTGGTTAACGGAGGAGATATTTTGTTTGTTCCGGCTCATATCGAGATTCATGTGACCGGAGAAAGTGATGTGATGAAGCTTTACAGAGCTGGAGTCAGCAGCAGATTCTTCCAAACATTGTAGGCCAAAAAATTAAAGCTAAAGATATA